ATATAAATATATATAATTTGAATTTTTGGAAACTTTAACTGTGCTGTCAACTTTGGGAAAAGTTATCCCAATTTACTGTGTTGAGTCGGCATTGTACAGAAATTGACAGCCATATTGGTCTAGAAATGTTAACTTTTTTTTCCATTTGTACAGGGGTAACACACTGTGTTAAATATGTAAGGTCATATCTACGTGGGTTTGATTACAGAAACTAATAAGGTATTCTCTAAATAATGGAAAAAAAGAATAAGATAAGACTACAACAGCAAGAAGCTATTTAAATATGTTTAGGGACCATTTTCATCTTCAGAATTAAGGATTATTTTAATCTTACATTACTGCCTTTTCTCTTTTACTTTCCTTTTTAGTTTTGTGTTAGGATTCCCTATTTTTAATGTTCATACAGAGATTTCTTTAACTGAAATACCGAATAGTTTCTCTGGTGTGAAAAACTGTAATAGTACGCAAGATCCCAATAAGACAACTAATAATGTGAAATAGGAAGCAAAGGGAGAGATATATACTGTAATAGTACGCAAGATCCCAATAAGACAACTAATAATGTGAAATAGGAAGCAAAGGGCTAAAGGTATAGGGAAAGTGGAAAGGGTGGGGGAAAGGTAATAAGGGAGAGGAAAAAATATGATAAATTGAAAAAATGGAAATAAAGTGTTTGTAAATGGGGAGGAGAGGAGGGGGTGAAGGGAGGGCAGGGACAAGGGGAAAAAATGAGAATTAAGACCTATCATGTAAAGGTACAGGATCCCAATAATTAATGTAACTGTATTGCATACCTAGATTGTACCAATAAACTCTATAAAAAGAATTAAAAAAAATATATATATATATATCAATAATAAAATAACTATTTTTAAAAACAAAACAAAACAAATAAAAAGAATGAACATTTTCTGGGTCTTACCTGCGATTTTATCTCAACTTCAAAAGTTGCAAATATATCAGTGTCACACTTTAAGCCTGAGATTTGGTTTTCCATCATATAACCCTATTGGAGAAGAAATAAAGAAAAAAACACCATATTTAAATTTGGAACGCCATTATTATACAGGATTAACATTTTCTTTAAAAATAAAAAATATAAGAAGTTACCAAAATTAAATAGACATGTTTTTCCTACTCAGAATAATCACTTAAGAATTTTGATTTATCACATTAGCTTTTGGTCCACAAATACTATTCTGAATGTTACCTTCTTTAGTAGTAAAAACATTTAAAATAGTCACATCATATTTTTCCAAAAGATTTCAACATAATACGCTGATTGTTCCTGTCTTCAGAATCTTATAAATTCTAAAAAACATCAAGGTATTAGTGATTACACCCTACCCTATGCGAGATAAGGATGCCCCCTACACCCCCATACAACTGCTCTAAAATTTGGCAGATAGTCCTATGAAAATTCTTGAGTGGCAACACAAAAATCTTAAACTGCCACTCTGCATCTTAGTGTCATCAATTACTCCACATCATAAATTCATACTCCAGTTTCTCCTCTTCCTCCTCCTCCTTCCTCTTCCCCCTCCTCCTCCTTTACCACCTCCTCCACCTCTTCATTTCTGTTTTAATTCCTAAATTTCTATTTTAATGGCAGTAGACCTCTGCTAATATTCAAAGTGTTGGCTATTCCCTCACACATACTAAGGAACTGACTGTTCAAGAGAACCTAGAGTTGGACCCAGGCAAAACATGAAGGAAATGAAGCTTGTCACTGTCCTTAGCCCCTTCCCCTTCCACAGCCTCCACATTGTCCCTGCGCAACTTGTTCTCCCCCAGAAAATCTCCAGAACCTTGTCTACTTTTCAAACCCAATTCCACGCCTCACTTTAGCCTGTGGGTCATATCAGAAGTGAATGTCCCCTCGGCATCTGCAGTTAGAATGTTAGTCTGAGTAGGAAATGCAAAACTTTTTGCCTCTGTTGAAATTTTCAAGCTACGGGGATATAGAGGATCACAGAAGGGTGGTCACAAGGGTATTTTAATCCTCATCTGAATCCCTAGGGACACTTAAATTCTGGGAGATCTGCTTCACTTTTGAAAATTGGGACAGGAGTCATAGAAGCCTGGACTTCTGGGGTCCTGTTGCTCTCAGAGCCGTGAGGCAGAAAAGTCTGAAAGAATCAACTCTAAGCAGTCATCTCCCCTTTCCTTCTCTGCATCTCAGCTGCGTGGTGTTGCCACCTGTAGTTTATAGAAACAGAGATATCTCCACAAGCCTGTCAGAATCCTTACTTATAACTTTAACCTTATTCTATTTATTTACTGATAAATCAGTATCATTTCCAAATGAAGAAGTTTTATCTCCATCTCTCCACCTCCCACTCCATAACCACAGAGCTAAGCCCGCCTCCTAGGTAAACCACACAAAATCAGTTTCTGACTGAATCATGCCTGGTGTTCCCCCCACTTTAAGGGCAGAGCTGACTCATCTTCATCTTCTCATCCTATCATGCCTTGAGTAATTATTTTAAGCTAGATAGGGTGCTGAGGGCTTTACCCAAATTTTATTTACTTCACTTCATCCTTTTATCCTCACAATTGTCTCATCGTTTTACAGATGAGGAAAGTGAGGTTCCAGGCCTGTGTTGAAATGTTCTGGAATCATCTATCAAGTTCTGGCATGGAAAAAGATGAACACTAATTTCACCATCTCAGTGTTGAAAAGAAGCAATTAGACCCAAGAAGCACAGGTATTCATACTCAGATTATACAATGTTGAAGAAAGGAAGTATTATTTTTTTCTGAGTATTTGCTCAGGTCTTCCCCCAGTGGAGGAGAGAGCAACAGGTTTTTCATTGTTCTCTGAGAGTGCCCCAGAAATCTGGCAGTCAGGGCTTTAAAACAACCAGAAAAAGAATCTACTCAAAAGACAGCAAAGCCAGACAACAGATACCAGGTTTCTCAGAAAGTAGGCCGTGGAGTCCTACAAACATAAAACATGTTATATTAGCTCTTCAAATGCAACAGAATTTATTTCTCTCCTACATGAAAGAACTCTGCTTTGAACTCCTCATCTAATTTGAAAGTCAGATAAAATTGTGCAGTGATTCTGACTCTCTGTGGCCCCTAAGACCTGGGATAGCAAAGCTGACAGCCCTCATGGAGTGTGCAGGCAACTGAAAATGAAAGAGCAAGGAGAAAACCAGTCAACATTTTGAGACAGCGGCTGTGGTTGGCATGTTGCTTCCTATGTCCTGAAATTACCAGCAGTGCATTTATCATCAATTTTCTTAGAGGAGGCCAGGGAGGCCCAGCCTTCTAAAGTCTAAATCCCTGGGACATCTGAGGTGTCCCACTTGGACACTAACCAGGCTGACAAAGGCATGCATCCATGTTGTGGGTGAATGTGCACATGAATTTAGAGAGATCTATGAGTAGAGGTGTGACTGAATGGGGACTTGTAGCCATTGAGGAATCTAAATTCAACTTTGGGCCCCAATTCCTTGGGAATTAGCCTCTCTCTCTCGCTCTCTCTCTGTAAAATTAAATTTTTTAACTTAAAAGAATTTTTTTTTGTTTTTTAATTAACTACTGAAAGCAATGCATAAGCACCATAAAAAGCAAACTAAATAAAAACAAAAGGAAATAAGGGATTAAAAAGTCACCAACCACCCCATAACAGAGATAATGAGAAATAAAGGAAGTAAATGGGAAATGGGTGGTCAAGGAGGAACAATCCCAAGGAAAAGGCTTTATGGGGAAGGTGGGAAAGACCAGGAAGCCAACAACAGAGCAGATCTGGGTAAAAGGGAACTGCAGGCAGCCAAGGAGGCCATTACTGAGGGTACCATACATGACACTTCAACACTGCAGCATTTCTACCCTTTGTCTACTCATCACTCCAGTTTTGGGGAAGAGAAAGCTGAGGTTTAGTGAGGTTTGCCACTTTGTTCTGCCCATGTTGCCCAATTCCCCAGGGTTTCACAGTGCTGTTCCCTCTGTTAGGTTACTCCCCCTGATCTCCACAGGGGTCTCTCTCTCCCTCTCTCTCTCTCTCTCTCTCTCTCTCTCTCTCTCTCTCTCTCTCTCTCTCTCTCTTCATTCCAGTCTGTGGTCAGAAGTTCCCTCCGAAGGAAGGCTGCCTCTGACTCTTCGGTCCAATAAAACAGGTGCCCAGCCACCACCTTCCTTCATTAAACTTTTAAGACAGTCCAGCCTCACCCCTGCCTCCAGAGACCAGAACCGATATTTTCCCAGGGCCTCTGCTCCCACCTGATTGCAGACTCCCTTCATGCCACTCCTGCCTCTACCTGACACCCAGCACTGACTCAGAGCCTGGCCTCTCTGCCACTGTTGACAGCTCCATGCATTTGGATTTTGTGCGCACATGAGAGCACCGCCAGCTCTGCCCTTCAGTCCAGTCCCCAGGCTCCCACTCTGTGCAGCTCCTGCTGGGACAGCTTGATGCTGGGATCCAGAAGGTATGCAGCACTTATCTTCTCACCTCATTGTCTACAGTCCCTCTGACGGTACAACTACTTGTCCTCCTTGTAGAAGACAAGGGCACGCATGGGCTGAGTTACTAGCTTCGGGTGCCACCCCTTTTACCAATCAGCTGCAGGTTCTCCCCCTCCTCTCTTTGCTTTTCATTTTCCATTTCCCTTTTGCCTTCCTCATTGCACACTTCCCTTATCTCACTTCCCATTTCTCATTTCACACATGTTGCTCTATTTTTCTAGCTTCTCTTTTCTCACTTCCTGTGCCTGGTTTCTTCATTCTTATTCCCCTACTTTTTCTCCTTTTTCTTATTTCTCCTTTCCTGTTTCCCACACTTTACTTCTCTTTCATTGTTTCCCAAAGGTTTCTTTCCTTCCCTTGTTTCACCTCTCATCTCCTATGTGTCACTTCCCATTTTTTCTTTCTCCTTTGGTGTCCCCTGCCCCCACTTCACCTCCCTTCTCTGGTTCATCCTTTCAACATCCTCTGCCTCACTTACCTTTTCTGGTTCCGCTTTTCTCACATCTCCTGCCTCACTTCCTTTTTTACTAGTTTCTTCTTTCTTGCAACACTGCTTCACTTTCTTTTTCTTTTTTCTCTTTTCCCACTCCCCATGCCTTACTTCCCTTTTCTTGGTTCCTTTTTCTTGTTTCTTTTCTCTTCTTTCCCATAAATTACTTCCCCTTTCTTCTTTCTCCTTTCTTGTTTCCCCACCTTACTTCCCTTTCCTGTTTCTCCATTCTTGTTTCTCACACTTTATTTCCTTTTTTGCTTCCCTTTTCTTGATCCCCCCTTTTCATTTCTCTTCTCTGTTTCCTGATTTCTTTCATTTCTTACTTCTCTTATCTTATTTCTTTATTCTTATTTATCATTTCTTACTTACCTTCTTTTTAAGGAGATTTTAACTGACAGGTAACACAGAATGTTTTTATCATGTGCAACGTGTTTAAATATATATACACTGTGAAATGGCTAAAGTCTAGGTAATTAACAAATGCTCATGGTTATCAATTTGTGGTAAGAACATATAACATCTGTTCTCACTACATTTAAAAAAATACAATATATCATAATTAACTATAGTTACTTTGCTGCACAATAGAAGTTTATTCCTAATTTTTAGATGTAATTATATATCCTTTGACCAATATCTGGATATCCTATCTCATAACTAATCTTTCCAGCATCTGGTAACCATCATTCTATTCTCTATTTCCATGAAATCAACATTTTAGATTCTGCATGTTATGGTTTAGATCACCCAATGAGTGGTCACCCAAAAGAGCCTCTTAAGATGATGGGTGGGGCTTTTGGAAGATGATTGAATCATAGAAGCACTATACCTGAATATGCTAGAGGAAGTGGGGTCTGGTCTGTAGGGGTAGGTTACTGGGGGCACAACCTTAACAGTTAGCTCTCTCTCCTGAGTCCCTTGTCTCTCTTCTTCCTGGCCACCATAACATAATTAGCCAACTATAGACTATAACTGTAAGCCAAATAAATCTCTCTTCCTTAAAATTGTGAGTGTCAGATATTGTGTTGCAGCAATGAGAAGTGACTCAGATTTTGGTACAAGAAGAGGGGTGTTGGTGTGGCTACCTATGTGGTATAGAAGCTTTTTGTTTTTTGTTTTTTGTTTTTGTTTTTGTACTGGGATTGAACTCAAAACCTCATACTCATGAGGCAGGCATAGTGCCACTGAGCTAAATCCCTGGCCCTAGAAGCTTTTGGAATTGATTCACAGGAAAAATTTGGAAAGGTTAGGGGATGGCAACTAGAGAAGCCCCAGAATGTTGCAAGCTGAGCTTCATGGGAGAGTCTAGTCACAAATAAGAAGACCAGAATGCTAACAAAAATGCAATTCATAAAGACCAGGCTCTGGCAGTTTCAGGTGGGTACAAGAACTCCATTGGCAGTTGAACCCCAGCCCAGGTGTGTTATGGTCTGCTAGAAAATTTGTCTACATTTTGTTTATGTCCTCAATCTTTTTGGGAGAAGAGATTAAGAATGGAAAACTAATTAATCTGGTGGAAGAAATTTCAAGGCAGTCCAGTGTTGAGATTGTGGCATGAGTACTGTTGGGGGCTTTTAACCAGTTCTACATTGAGAATTAAGAGGAACTAGCAGAACTGAGTGATTTTAAAACTTGTGAGTTTCCTCAGGAAGAAAACATGCAGAGGACTGTAATGTTGATTATGCACAAAGCAGGCTGTAAAGAGTTAACCCCACAATTGGCTTGTTTTGAGAATTAAATCTGGCTGAAGCCTAAACGCCAAGGTCAGAATAATTTATATTGAAATTCCTTTCCCACAACTAAAATCTTCTAACTAGAAGGACAATGTTCTAATTACTATATATATTTTGTCTATTCTGTTCCTAATTCAAGAATGCTTTGTCTTGTCCTTTCTGAGCATTGTTTACATTAATTTCCATAGAAAGCACTCATAGCTTGCCCTTAACCCAATTGATTGGCAATAAAAGTCAGTACCTGGGACTTCCCAGTGATTTTGTTAGTTGCACTGGTATTGGTCATCCTGTCACCCCACTTTCTCTGTTCTGGTCTGTCTCTTAGTGTATTTTTTCTCAGGCCTGGGCACACGTAGACTAGAGACTTACTACAGGAGTTTTTGGCAGAAGCACCTGTGAATCTGGTGACTTCAAGAGCCATATCACTGAAAAGATTTTTTCAAAAGCCAAGTACTTTACATCAGAACAATAGGAAAAAAAAGATGCCATGAGGAATATCCTGGGAAGAAGGAAGATCCACCCTTCAATGGCTCAAAGTTGCAAAAGTTGCTTTGAGAGAGAGAGAGTTCTAGGGAATCCAGCTCACTCAGGGCAAGGTAATAAAGAGTTTCCCAGAGCCTTGCTATCCATATATTCAGAAGTCCCTGCAGACTCGACTCAAGTGGGTCCAGTTACTGCCAAACCTGTTGACAGACCTTGGTGTCATCCACATGGTGCTGATTTTACAGGCATGCAGAATGCAAGAGTTGGAAGGTGAAACAGGCCTTTCCCCAGATTTCACAACAAGGCCTGGAAGGCTAGGAAATGTGGTCCTTGTGAGGGTGGTGCGTGAAACTGTGAAACTTAATCCAAAAGTATAATGGAAACACCAGGAAGTTGGAGATGGTAGGAATGTGGAATGTCTGAGGTAGTGAGAAAAGCCACCCCAAGAGAAAAGACATGAAGGCTACAACTTGCAATGATGTAGGTGTGCAGCCACCCAACCTGTTTAGAGTTCACATCTTTGCTTTGGGTGCTAGACTTGGAGTTATGGGATTTAATGTTTTCCCTCTTTCCTTTTGATCTTGCTGTAGTCTGAATCCTTTCTATCCTCCTAAGATCCTGGCTTTCCCCCAAGAGCCTCTTTAGAGGTGGGGCTTTTGGAAAATGATTGAAATATGGGGGAACTATAGTTGAATGTATTGTTTCTATATTTTTCCCCAAATAAGGTTGAGTTTTGTATTAATTTTTTTCTCCAAAAGATGCATTAGGGCTTAAGACATAAGAGCATGTCTTATTTTTCATATACAACAACATATTTATCTAACAATCTACATTTACTCAGGTATAAAAATCTACATTTATGTAAATACAGTCATGTCATCTTCTCAAACATTGTGATAACTCTCCAAACTGAATTCTGGTCTGAATTTCTTGCGACTCCACTTCCTATAGAACCACTCCTCCCAATCTCTAATGCTCAGCAATAGCACTCTCTTTAAATGAGCATTTCTTGTCCATGTAGCCTGCTCATAGTGCCTTGGCAACACAGCTGTCAGTGACTTTATTCCATGAATTCTTTACCCAAGTCACAATCTCTTGCAGGTAAGGCTTCACAAAGTTTTCCTTAAATCAAGTGTTAATTGAAGACTTATAACCCAGGAGTGCCACAAAAATGATGACAGGTAAGAATGATGGTTGGTCCAGGACTCGGGATTTAGCTCAGTGGTTCCTTTGCCTGCCTCTCAAGCGCAAGGACCCGAGTTCAATTCCCAGTACCAAAAAAAAAAAAAGAAAAATTGAAGGCACCATAATTCAGAAAATGCTTATTTACTCCACACAAGTGCATTAAGTACATCCATTACAACACATGATATTTTGAATTATGAAGATTCATATTAGACATAACCACTTCTGTTCATTATCAAGTGTGCACATTATTTGTGCATTGTGTCTGTACTCTGATTACTCATTTAGCAATGTTTTAAGTCCATTTGTTTATATAGATGTTTACCTGATGTCCAAAGGTTCCCAGTTGCGTATTTACAAATAATTATAAATTGTGTTGTCATTTATCTTAAGTATTAATATCAGTATTATTTAATTATGTTAATATTATTTATAGTTCAATGTGTCCATCATGTGTTGCACCAGATGTATTGAATGTGTTTATCTGGCTGATGATCTTAACTGGGGTTTATTTTGAGGGTAGGTAGGCATTATATTACAAGTATCCTGAAAATCATGCTAGGATTTATTTCCTGGTTAGGTCTTGTTTTAGGGGAAATATGCTAGGAAGTTGGGGTCTGGTCAGAAGAGGCAGTTCTGGGTCATGACCTTAATGGTAGATCTCCCTCCCCAACTCTTCTCTTCTCTCTGCTTCCTGGCCACAGCTTTTCCTCTGCTATACCCCTCCACCATAATATTTTCTGCTTGGGAGTCAGGTGGAAAAGAACCATAACCATGAGCTAAAATAGACCTCTCCTCCTTTGACTTATGGATGTCAGCTATTGTGACTTAGCAAAGAGAAAGTAATTAAGACACTGCCTATGAATGAAATCATACACTGTCTTTCTGTACCTGGATTATTTTATTTAACAAATGTTCTCTAGGCTCAACTATGTTGTCACAAGTAGCAGAATTTCATTATTTTTATGGTGGAATAGTTTTCCATTAGGTATACATACCATATTTTCTTTATTCATTCATCCACTGATCAATACACATTGACTCCATACCATGATTACTTTGAAAAGTGCTGCAATAAATAGTTCAGATATCTCTCCAATGAAATGATTTCATTCCCTCTGGATATATACCCAATACTGGGATTACTGAATTGGATGGTAGTTCTATTTTTAATTTTGTGAGGAATCTCAATACTGTTTTTGTAATGGCTTTACTAATTTACATTCCCATCAACAATGTACAAGAGTTTTTCCTCACCAATGCTTGTTGTCTTCTTTTTCTTCTTTGTCTTCCTCTTCTTCTTCCTCTTCTTCTTCTTCCTCTTCTTTTTACTCCTCCTCCTCCTCTGATTGGGGTGAGATGATATCTTATTGTGGTTTTGATTTGCATTTTCCTGATGGTTGGTGATTCTGAACTTTTTTCATATACTTCTGGCCATGTCTTCTTTTGTAAAATGTCTAGGTAGGTCTGTTGCTTGTTTTATTGAGGGTTTTTTTTAATTGTTTTATTGTCATTGTTGTTATTTCATTTTTTTCTTTCCTTTTTTTTCTTGCTTTCCAGTTGTTTCACTTCCTTATACATTTTGAATGTCAAAAATATGGTTTAAATTACTTTCTTTCATTTTGTAACTTGTCTCTTCACTCTGTTGTTTGTTTCCTCTGGTGTACAGAGCTTTTTAGTTTGATGTAACCCAATTTGTTTATTTTTTATTTTGTCATCTGTGAGTTTTGTCTTATCAACAAAAAAAAATTCTTTGCCCAGACATATGTCTTGAAGTGTTCCCGTGTTTCCTTCTGGTAGTTATATGGTTTTAGGTTTCACATTTAACTATTTAATTAATTTTGACTTAATTTTTGATATGACAAGAGATGAGAATTTAATTTCATTCTTTTCCATGTGGATATCCAGTTTTTCCAAGATAACATATTAAGGAAATTGTCCTTTCCCCATTGTGTGTTCTTGGAAACTTTTTCAGAAAATCAGTTGGCTGGAAATGTGTGGATTTATTTCTGGGCTCCCTATGGTCTATTTGTCTATTTGTATGTCAATATCTTTCTATTTTTGTTACTATAGATTTGTAATATACTTGGAAGTTATGTAGTGTAGTGCCTGCAGCTTTGATATTTTTGTATAAGTCATCTTCTTTCACAGCATGTTTTACTTCCTTGATTTTTAATTTTAGAATATCTGTTATAAGTTTTTGCTTTGTAGTCATCATGAAGCTTTCAAAAAAGTCTTAACAGTAGGTCGTTTTAAACTAATAACAACTGATTGCTAAAGAAAAAGAAGAAAAAATTTATAATTTAATTCAACTTCACTCCCACATTTTTATATCAATTTACATCTTTTTGTATTGAATATCCCTTAATAGATTGTAATAATTATTTTAATAGTTATATCTTTTAATGTTACATTAAGATATAAGTGATTTGCATACCACTTTACATTTGTGTGTTACTTTTCTCTCATTGATGAGACAAAATACCTGACATTCAAAGTTACAGGGGAAAAGGTTTATTTGGTTTACAGTTCTTAGAGGTTCCAGTCTAAAATTGGCTGGCTCCAAGGCAGGGATGGCAGACAGGCATCACAGAAAAGAAACAAAATGGTGCACACAAAGTAGCAAAGGTAACAAGAGACCTTCACCATGTCTTTCTGCCTCTTTTATCCCATCCAGACTACTGGGATTAGGGTGTTGATAAATCACATGCCCCTAATCTCAGCATCAAACATTCCGGATTCGGCTACCTCTGACCAAATAAGACTTTGGGGGAGACATCCAGATCCAAATCATAACAATTAGAGTAGTCTGAATTTGACTGCTGTGTACTTACTTTTACCAATGAACTGTATGCTTTCATATATTTTAATGTTATTCATTAGTGTCCTCTCCCTTCAGCTTGAAACTCCCTTGTATTTCTTAAAGGACAGGTATAGTGACAATGAATTCTCCAGCTTTTGTTTGTCTGGAAAAGCCTTTCTCTTTTATTTCTGAAGGGTAGTTTTCTGGATAAAATATTTTTGTTGGCAGTGTTTCCCAGCCCTTTGTTTATATAATTCTATTCTCTTACCTGGCCTGTAAGGCTTCTGCTAAGAAATCTGTAATTGGGTATATAAATTTGCACTCCCACTCAACTTGCTGTGTTATTTGCTTAGTTTTCTTGATATTTTCAAGATCCTCTCTTTATCACTGATCTATGACATTTTGATTCCAATATGTCACAAGTTTGGTTTATCTGACTGTATTTAATTGAAGACACTGACTTTCTTGTACCTGAATATTTATATGTTTTTATGGGTTTGTAACATTTTCTGATATTATTTCTTTAAATACACTTTCTGGTCTCTTCCCTGCTACCTCTTAAATGCCAGTGATTTATATATTTGTTCTTTTGATGTTATCCCATAAATTTTCTTCATTTCTTTTCATTCTTTTTTCTCAAGTTAATTTTTTCAATTAACCTGTCTTCAAGTTTACAGAGCCTTTCCTCTACTTGATTAATTCTACTGTTGATGTTCTCTTTTGTAGAGTCAACATAGCCATGACTCATTTGGAATCCCTCACACTATGAGCTGAATTGCATCTTTCCCCCACTAAATTTCTTATGCTAAAGTCCTAACCTCCCTGCAGAATGGGACTGTATTTGAAGATAAGGTCTTTAAATAAGTTGAAGTGAGGCCATTAGGGTAGTACTAAGTAAATACGATTAGTATCCTTACAAGAAGAGGAAATTTGAACACAGATACACACAGAGGA